TTCAAGAAATGGATGGTTAGACTGTCAATCTGAAATATTACTTTTTCTTTTTTGTAGAATCTGAAATATTATTTTGTTCTTAGCCTACTCTCAATTGGGTTTTCATCTGATTTAAGATCTGTCAAATATATTGCAGCTACTGCTGAGATGCCTGATGCCATGGGTATAATATATAAAAAAGCACTCACTATTGGGACAAGTGGTGCTGTGAGTAACTTGCGTTCATTCATGTCATAATTTATGTTCTTCTCCCTTTGTAGTCGTGACATATTAATCAAAATCGGTTTTTTCATTGTTCTAGGTAGATGAGTATATGGAGAACAAAGGTAGTGCAGCAGCATCTTACTCTAAAGCGATGCTTTTACTTTCATTTATTATTGGAGAGGCGATGAATCTGCCATTGAAACCACCGTTTTCATTGGCTCCTGCAGTTAAGAAGCAAATTCAGAGCTACATTAACCACTTGCAGTCTCATCAATGTCAGTTTCTAACATCAGCACCATTTCCTAAGCTGTCTGCAGACTCCCCAAACAAGTGATTACTGCTGCTTGTGTACTGATATTTTTAAGACTGCGGCAATTTTTGAATTGTGTTTTATTGACAAGATATAAGGGAATACATGTCTAGGCTGACATTATATGGACATACTTGGACATAAATCTAATGTACATAAACAATATATAACAAACGACTGGCAGTCTGGAGCAAAATGATCTATTTTGCATAGGGGTTGATGTAAATAGTACTCTTCTTTCTCTTGATAGACTGTAAATTTGAATAGAAATTGTAACCTGTACAGTCTTTTTTACTATACATGGATAGAATTCTTTCAATTGAATGTTGGAGCTTTTGAAGCACACTTGATTGATTGTCTAGCCTGACGGTAATCAGTGGATGTTGATAGTCTAGATGACAGAACCTGCTCATACTAGCTAATATAGCTCTGAGGCAGGCTCAATGCACTAATCCCTGTTGTCTTCTGTAATGAAATTGTAGCACAAAAATTCATATACGACCTGAAATAAAATTGGAGAAATCAAAATCATCCTCCACAAGCAGCGAAGGACAAGGGTTAGGCAGATCTATACCGCATCAGGTGGCCTTTTTGATTTATGTTGAAAAAGGCCACCCTCCTACTTTCAACATTTTGCGCATCATTTGGCTTTTGACAATGCAATTTTAGTCATCGGCTGAAAAGAACAAGGAAAATAAGAATTTGAGTTGATATCTAAAGTAGAATACTACAGCTAAGACTTGGAAGAATGGCCAAATAAGGCATAAAAATGCAGTTAGTGTTTGCAAACCAGTGGATGTACCCTGGCAACTGAAAGGCAAGCAAACCCTTTCTGCTTAATTTTTTGTTTCACTGCATCAAAAAAGTTTCAGCTTGTTCCAGGAATATGATCAGCAAGCAAAAGAGGCCATAACTTTGGAGAAAAGAGGCCAAATCAAGAGCCATTCAGTACTTAATGCTTCTTATCTAAGTCTATTTCAAAGTAGTTTTAACTGCAGTTGTGCATGGTCCAGGAAAGTAAATAAGTCAATGTAGACATATAGTACACACACCTACACGAAAAGTCTCGTGAGCTGCTAGTCTTAAAATTAACACATGAAAGGAAATAAGATAAAGGGGGGAAAATTAGACATTACACGCAACAACAGATTTTTCCTTGGTTAATTGCATGCAATAGCGTAAGTCAAGTTGAAGCTCCCCCCTCCAAGCGTATCCTCTTGGGACCTTTCTCTTCACCTTGACTGCCGGCGTTCATCACTCTGTTTTCCTTGGCTTCCACAGAACACCTTTTGTACGGTTTAAATCCTGTTCGGCGGGCCTTAAGCTTTGCATTTTCTAGTCCAATTGTCCGCAGGCCCTCTTCCACAATGTCCCCACCTCTTGACAAACCATTTTTCTCAACCCCTTGACGGTCAGAACAAGATCCCACTGTCTGGCTGTTAAGGTCTAAAGCTGATGTAGCTCCGTCTTTCTCATCTGAATTTTGTTTGTCATCCTCTACATTGTCCTTTTGCTGCCCCTTGTTCTTACCGTCGTGTGGAGGAGAAAAGCTTTGTGGCAGTACCTCCCGGGAGAAGAGGGCTTGAAAAGCCAGTCGCCCCTGACCAAAAAGATGCTAACAAATAAGTAGTGGAGCCAAAATGCGACACTATCACAAACAATTGAATATATTAGTTACATGGAAAAGCAGACACATTAACTCACCCCTTGAGATACTTCCTTCCAAGAATCACTCAGGTTGCTACTGCTTCTACCACGACGATTACAGCAGTCAACTTGTGGATGATTGCATCAGCTCCTTTTGCATCTTCCTTGTCTTTCTCATGTTTTTCTAACGCATCGGTCTCCACCTCACTACTTGAAGGTGTATTGGAACCACACGAGGACCGATCAACTTGTTTTCTGTTTGTTTTATTTGCATCCTGAGGCTCAGTTAATGCTGCTGCTTTCTCATCATCGGCTGCTTCACTCCAGAATTTACTTTTGCATCTCCACACGCTTCAGAGTCTGATGATGATGAAGTAGGTGATTTAGATGTTGAATGTTGACCTTGCAAAGCTTCAGAGCATTCAGGGTCCAGCTGTTGATCCTGCATGGATAGATCTTGATCATTATTATCTTTTCTTTCTGTCCTTGCAGCCGGAGCTTGCCCATTATCCATTGGAGGAACTGCAGCAGTGGATGCAAGAGCACAGGTAAAGCCAGTGTGCAGAGGCGCACATAAAGGAAGCAGTCCATGGGCAGCCCACCATGCAGTGGCAGCTGCTACAGTTGCAGCAGCAATAGCAGCCATACTTGGAGCAGGGTTCATTTGTCTAGATGGAAAACCTCCTTGGCTGCATGCAGGAGAATCAGCAGAATTTTCAACATTTGCATATGGCCAAAATGTAGCTGCAAAGCTTGCTGCAGCATGAGCTGCTGGATTCTGTAACAAAGTAGATGCAATGAGACTGGAAAAAGTGGAGGAGACATGTAGAAATGACCGATAGTCCTCTGGATTGGGGCAAACATGTGTAAAGGGAGGATGAAAAGTCGGAAATGCCTGATGAGTAGATCTTGGTGCATTATTCTGATGTTCAGTAGTAGCAGATGCAGCTGGATTTGCAAACAGGTTAGGTTGTCCATGAACATCTCCCGTAGGGTGAAATACAGAATCCTGAAATGGCATATCCAGGGAAGGATTTTGAGCACATGTTCCCAGGCTTCCATCTAAGACATGCACAGCAACATGCCTAGGATAATTTTGAGTGGCTTGCATCTCATCTGCATGTAACCCACCATCCACATCATCTTTTTTCTGGGCTTGAGCTGATTTCTCATGTGAAGTGCAAGAATTATCCAAGTTTGAAGCCTTGCTTGTACCATTATCCTGAATTGTCTGTTCAACATTAAGTTTATCAGCGTCATAAATTGTTTATGTTCAAGAGTGACATAGGATTCATGTTTGTCATCATGATTTACTACCTCTTTTAGTGAAGGTACAAACTCCCTAAAAGTGCAAGAGTTTCTGAGTGCTGCTGATGTTGGTATAGAATTCTTGTTCACGGAAGACACAGAAGAGCAGTTTGCTTCATGGAGAAGGGTAAAAACCTCAGAGCAACTATCATCTTGAATGTCTTTCAGACTTATAGGCTTTTCATCTCCATTAGGTCTCTAACAATCAAGATACATATGATGCATGGATAAATAAAAAATGAAACATAATTAAGGAACATGAAGAATTTGATACATGAACACGGGAAGAGAAATAAACCTCTGGAAGTGGTTCTTTCTCCAAGTCCAATACTTGTTTGCAACGCAAAGAACATAATGGTGTTTCAGATTTTCCATCCTTTGCTCCAACCTGTGCTGTTGTAGCAGCGCCCGTCTTTCGAGGATAAGGGTTGCTTGGTTTTCTTTTGGGGCGTGGAGGTGGAATTTCTATGTCAAGAGCTTGACCTATTGGAACGCCTTTTGCGTGTGCCTCCTTCTCCAACTGAGAGTAGAATATCTGTCAGTAGTCTAGACTAAAATGAATACAGAAAAAGAAAAACATTTCTACTTACTGATGGAGCCTATGTAACATCAATCATATCGAAGTGCAACACTAAACATATATGATAGGAATGGAATAACTCAAGTTGGGATCGATTAATTTATTTGCTCTGGAATTATTGTAGGAAAAGAGATCAATCTTTTTTTCTCCAATGAATGCAAAATAGTAAGTCTAACCAAAATACTACAAAATATTATCAAGAAAATAGGAGTCCACATATATAATTGCTCTAACATCTACTTATATCTCATACTGGAGATTATTACAAAATGTTGTACTCCTATTATCAATTATATGGCCTGTCTTATACATTATATTTCTCTCCTTCTCACCAAATAATTAGAATCCATCAGCCAATTTTGTAGAAGATTAACACATTCTTATCTATTCTCCCTTCAGAAAGTGATAGACAATTGTGTCCTTCAAATCAGGTAAGCTCATTCCAAAACATGAATCCTGTAAACCATCTTTAATGATTTATCTACATTTTTCAGTCCTTAAATCTGTCACGTGTTCTCTGAGAGACTCCTGGGCAATATAACATTGACTGTCATACATACAAACAGGCCACAGTTGAACATACATACACGAACATTGGCTAAACAAAAAAAGGGGGCTGATTTAGCCAAGCAGTCAGCTTGACTGCTTCGCTAAACCAGCCCCCATGTTTACTAGGAGAAAACTTCAACGTATAAGTTAAGAAGGAGAGAGGGAAGTAGTCTATTAAGATAAAAAGAAAATTATCGGTAGTTTCTTAAAAATCACAGTTTTAGTTCTGCATAAATAAGTTTAATCTTTCATAATGACAACTTATCCTTATAATCTGAATCAAACCATCCACAATGTTCTTTGTCAAGTAAAATCAAGATCCTTAAAATGTCTTGGTTTGGACTGAAGAAAAAAATTCTCAAAGCATTAACCATAGTAAACGTGAGCAATCTTCATTTGCTTATCCTCCAGAAAAGAGTTATCAATCATAAGCTAATCAAGATAAATCTGATGTTGCAAACTATTAACAACAGGAAATGTGCATATTGTTTGTGAAATCAGTAAAAGTACTTTAAACTTAGACATGCTGTCTAAGAGAAATTTGAAAGGAAAAAAGTACTGCAGTAACCATTTACCTTTAACTTTTATGTAATTGGCAGGTTACAGCCAATAACGTGCAGGAAATAAGTCTTTAATATAGAAATCCAGTAAACTTCCATAAGTGGTTCCTTTTATTGAAGATATACACCAGTCACTAAAGAAGAATAATCTCTTCAAATGGACCTATGAGATGCATAACCTCAACGCTGACATCATAATTAGCTTTAAGGCCCATCTAACACACATCCAAGCAGCTGCTCCTAAGCTTGGCTGCAAATATTAAGGCACACTCATCTTTCTGATGGAAAGAGAAATATGTGGATCAGTATTATATGTTCCTCATCACCAAACAATGCCATTAGTTCTCTTGTCATAAATGATAAATCTTTATAGATGCATGATACTCAACAACAAATAAGTAGCCTATCCTACATTCTAAACTCTCCCAATTCCCAGAAATGGAAGGAAAGACAAAGAAAATTCATATTTTAGATCTAATGAGTATCCGATTCATACTAGGTAACTATTGCTAACACATAAAAGAGATTTCATTCCACTAAATAAACACCTCAACCCACCCTAGAGTCCAAACAAATTATATCTTACACCATATGACATGTGACTTCCTTGCTAGCACTATCTACTTCTCAATGGATACCAACCTCAGATAAGGCCATATAGAAGATCATATGGCATACTGGGATTGACATCTTCAAACACATCTTCACTCACCAAGAACGTCTTTTGGTAAAAGTTCATCAAGACCTTCTGCTGGACAAAATATGACACAACATAAAACTAATAAAATCCCACCACATATTGGAGACATATTGCAAACTGGGCAATAAGATGCAGAAAGGCAAAATCCATTTGGAGATTGTCTTGAAGGGGTGTGAAACTTGCCACCATAAAAGGTTTAACAAAATATGATCCTAAAATTAAAGGTTTACTCTGGGTGCAGATTCATTTTCAACGTTGGATGCTGATGAATTAAACTATTACCATAGTCAAAACTTCGAGATAGCCTACACATGAAGGATAAACTAATTGGCATTGAGCCCTAACTGCCCATGCAGGACATACTACCCTTGGATGCTGTAGAATTCAATTTGTAGCAGAGCCAAAATCTAATCTAGCCATGAAGACATGGTAATTGGTCTCAGCCCAAACTCACAGCAGAGTGTCTCATAATGGGTGTAATTCACTCACTATACAAATTCAGACTAAATGCTAGAGGGCTCTTATGTGCCAAAAGACCAAATATATTAAGTACAAAATTGCATAAAAAGCTTATGTAATTCCTATGAGAAAGCTACCATTTATAACAACTTCAAAAATGGAACACACTCCTTCCTTTCCTGACAGATCAGACTACAACGATCATGAAGCCTTTCTTGCACACATCTAATGGCCAATCTCGTACAGAGACCAAATAAATACAATTTTAATTGCTGACATCTCCACAACAATAAGACAAATTTGTGGAGAGGAGAAAGGCTATTGCCCTAAGTGTGGTAAGCTAAATTAGTACTTATAAGCAGCTTGGACGCTCATCTAACTTGAGATCACTTTCTTTCTAGGTAATAAATAAACTCCGGTGTGCTTCTTCACATAACTGGTTATAAATTTGATCATACTACTATACGACTAATGTTTTTGACAGAGAAAAGCTATGTATCTCTACATGTATTTGGTATTAACCCTTTCTCCCCATTCTGTTGCTTGTAGATGCCTGGGAACCCTCTTCTGTTCTTTTTGTTGTTTTAATCAAAGAATTGCTTATACAAGCAAGGGGAAAAAACAGTATAAAGTACACAGATAAGAGAGAATAATCAGTATGATTTCCCAATCAATCAAATTGGTGCAATTGATGGATCAATAATTGATAGATTTCAAGCAGAAACAAGAGTTAAGATGCAGAAATATACATTGAATATAAGCATAAGCAAGAAGGCACCAATTGACCTTTGAAAAGAACTTTTGAGCATGACTCCTGATCTGCACAGCAGTCTTTGTTCCTATGTGTTCTGCACATCAACAAATAAACAAAAAAGAGAGGAGAAGAGACAGATCTCCAATTAAGATAAAAATCTATATAAAAAATTCATATGTCAGTCCTAACAGATATATCCAATGAATTTTAGCTCAACCCACAATAAAAATAGTTCTTAAAAGACAGCACCAATTGAAATATTTTTGTTTCTCCACCCAAAAAAAATTCAAATCTAAAACGGAAAAACAAGTGAAAACCTTCAATGCGTTGCCAAGCTCGTCCATAGAGCTTCAAGGCCTCTAGAAACCTATTATGCTCCTCCTCGGTCCATCTTTCACGTTGTTTTGTAATAGTATAAGGCTTCCTAGTCTACCATTCAACATAAAAATTCAACAGTTGAGATTATAACAATAAAAACTCCATTTTTACAATATCAACAGGTATAAATTAAAAGAAAAAAGAGTTTAATGTCAAATAAATAATAATTAATACCTTAATAACGAGTTCTTCTCCAGAGGAGTAGGTGTCCATTGACAGGGCCTGGGCAGCCGTAGCGCTGCTTCAAATCCTCTCTAACGAGCAATGGATAAAACACAAACCTCCTTTCATTTCTTTTGACATCCAATACTACAAATAGCAAAGCCGTCTTTGAACTCCACAAAACCCGATGATAACTATTTACTACTGCAAAGCACAAAAGCCAACAACAATCGATAGAGATCCGTCTCTGTTTTCTATAACCATTCCAATTAATGTTATTTTCTCAACATAATAAACTTATTTATTTTTAACATAACTAGTACTTTAGTTGATCACATGGTAAATTTCGTGATGAAATTTAAATCTGTGGAAGATAAAATAAAAAATTTAAGCATCCACCGTAACAGAGAGAAGAGACGGCTTCTTCGAAAGAACTTAAAAGAAAATTCCTTTATTCAGAATCCTCACCAAAACGAACCCGTAGGCGCCAAAACCTTTCGAGAAATGAGAGAAAAGATTTAATTAGTAATCAACAACGCACTTCCACATCCGCTCCTCCGGTAAATGTAAAGCTTTGCCGTTTTAACAGCTAAAAAGTAAGATTATATACAAAAGGAATTCTTTACCATCTGTTTGGTTGCCAAGGAAAAAAAATCAATCACTTTTATTTTCTCTCTACTCAGCTTCGTATAAACAACATTAATTTAAACTCAGCCGAGTAGAGTTTTGAAGACAAGAATTACTTTGAGGGGGCAATCAAACAGAGAGCAAAGAAGGAAAGCCCTAGAAACGCGGTGGAAATACCTTGAGAGGTAGCCATGGAGGATGAGAACTCTGAAAGCAACGATCACGCATGAAAAAAAGAGTTCACCAGAGACCAGTCGGAGAACTCATAGTTTCCGGCAATGAGGAGATCGGTATGAACAGAAATGGAAAACGGTTTTTTTTTATAGTAAGCAGAAAAGATTAGAAGAAAACTGAAGAAGAAGCAAAGCAAAGCAAAGAAGATAGCAGAGGAGAGGTCATTTTTGGTGAGACCTAAAACACCAGAAACTACAGTTTGGGAGAAGTACGGAGAAATCTCAGCCACTACAATTTCCTGTGGATTTATTTTTCTGAAAAATACAAAATTTAGGCAAGTTTTATTTGAGGCTGGGAAGGAGTGAACGGTAACTCGAACGGAGAGATGCACTGGATGTTGCCAAGTGGCAGTAATTTAGTGGCTGAGATAAGTAAAGCCCACCTTTGCGCTTTTTCCCTATTTTTCTTTTTTGCACTTGGCCTGTTGCTTCCCATCTTCAAATCTCAGCCACAAGTTCCCATCCTGTGAGGTCAAGTAAGTAAAAGCGCCTCCAGCTGTGCCACTGCGGGCCCCAGTGACGTGGACTTTCCTCCCGGCCGGTTTGTTCCCGTTGCTTCCGTACGGACTAGCATAAAAAGTGGATGGCGTTGCGCCAGCGTGGCATGGGTTACCGGTACGTGGCGGTTTTGGGACAGATGTGGAATCCGGCATCGTGCGGGTGAGAAGGACGAGGCGGAGTGGATTTCTAGTGCGACGTTTGCGGTTCATGCGGTGCCGCGAAGGTGTTGGGGATAAAAACATTTTGACTGTTGCTGCACCTGACAAAAGTTGGAGTCAAAGCCGCTGGATTTGAGACCATTGCAGATCTACGGTGATGATCCTAGCAACGAACCCCCTATTTTCTTTTTCCCTTTATTTGTTTTCAAAAGGATAAAATTCGTTTTTAACATTCATTGCATTGTATCGGAAGGAATTGGAGTCCCTCCCACAAAATCACAAGTGAAAATAAACATTCAATTGTGGGGTTTACATACAAGATCGACGTCTTAAATAATTCAACTATCTACTATCTAACAAGTTTTAAATTCATGATGAAATAGGAATTACGAAAATATACAAATTGAATCTGATTTTTTGTTAATTATATAAAAAAATTTCAATCAAAGTATAATTATGGATCCAAATGCTCCATCTTCTAAGAGATATTAAAAATTTATTTTTATAAAATTAAGATTGTTCAATTTCTCACATTTATTAGATAATCAATCAATGTATCAATTGGATAATTACACATTATGAAAATTTATTTTTGAAGTTATATATTTTTGAGACTCCTCCAAGTGATATTTTTATTTATTTATTTATTTACAAACACAAAGTGTAGTTAATTTTGTTTTATTCTTTTCCCTATTTAAACAACAATAAAAATAAACTCATATCAGTTTCCTTTCTTCGGGGTTTACATCATAGATAAGTGGCCTTCTATGGAACAAATTTACGAGGATGGGCTTCACCCTAATAATCAACCCAAATTGATTGATTTGCCAATGTCATCAATGCCGATCAAGGAAAAACAAAAGGTTAGATCCATGGGCCAACAAAAACGTGAACACGAAGAATATGGAAAGCTCTGGAAAATGGGGCATCGATCAAAATCCATTACCCTACACCCCCTACCTACAACGTGGCCATTGTCCCTTCCACCCAAAGCTTCTTCTTTTGTCCTTGGAAGGATCAAAAGTTCATTTTCATATGCGTTTATGGCAGTAGTCGGAGGAGCCATATGTTGCTTTCAATCTGCACTTTGATTTCTTACCACGATTATAAAGGAAAGTGATACAGTCATGAACCCCAATGGATTCTGTTTTAATATTCTGATTTCTGAAATCCAATCTCCATGCACTTGAAAGGATTATAATTTGGAGATGGGAGTTGAGTTTTCGTGGCAATTGGGAAAGCTCTCCCCTGCTTTCACTAACCAAAATTTGGATGAATTCAGTTCCGGGAAAATGCATGATGGAGAAGAATCCAGCTCAATGTTGTACTTGTACCAAACACGTCCTTAAGGGAGTACGAGAAATCAACTCCCAAATGACACATCCAAACATTAGAATTTTAGCCTTCTTTTGCTTTTGCCTAATAACATGACGTTGTCTGTTTTTAATTGTAATTTTAGGTCAAAAGTTGACTGCAAATAATTATTTAATGCTTTCTAGAATATGTTCTTGAAACTTTCTAACAAATAATGATCAAGACTTCCCTTGTTTTGATTGATTTATATATATATATATATATTCTGATGCAAAATTAAACAATTTCTTTGAAGCAGTAAAAGTGAAAATTTGTTGGTATTGATGAGTAACAAAATTCAAGATTTTATTTTTACATGAAACAAATATACATTAATCGATATGCAACTTTAACCAATATTTTATAATCAATCAAATATAATTTATACTATTTACTAGTTGTTAATTTTTTACTTTATAGCAACAGCCTTTTTGGAAGTAAGTAGTGAAAAAAATAATAATTATACGGTTTACTTTAGAAAATTTCGTATGTAAAAATTTCATTAGTGTGTTATATATATATATATATATATGTATATATATTAAAGGGAGCTAAAGCACTTAGATATAAAAATTTGAAGGGTTTAATGATTATATATAAGAAATATATTTTATAGGTTATCAATGAAATTTTTAAACTTTATAAAAGAGGTTAGAGGATTGTTATATATATCTTATTAAGATATTTTTTTAAAATTTAATAAATTAATATAATTAAAAAACACGTGATGAAATTTTAATTATGCTTATATTAACAATGTTAGTATATTTTTTATTTTTCTTACTCTTTCTTTTCATAATCGAAAAAAACTGTGGTTACCTCTATTTTTTCATTTTGACTAATCTATATTACAATATCTTAATTTATCTTTACACGCCTACCTTGGAGGGTAGGTTCGTAGATTATATATTAATCAAGTTTGACCAAAGCACTCGGTTTTGATCATTTTTATGTTTTAATTTGCATTAAAATATGTGAATCAACCGAAAAAGTTAGGCCCCCAAAATTCCTCAATTCCTCTAGAACACGTAAATTGATGAATGACGAAAAATAAAAAGTATCAACCGAGTTAGACAAATATTGTCAAGACACATGATAGTTAGTGAAGATCCAAAGCCAACGCCAAGATAAGAAATTCGTCCAAAGGCAGCCGGTAGATGAACAATTGAACACCTCCAACCTACAGTTCACCGCCTCCCCAGTTGCTGACGCGTGCTCTGGGTGACGAAGGTGCCGTGACGTTATTCCTTCACCTCCCCCCCTTCGCACGCCCTGATGCAAAAGCTCCTTGTTTTATCGGGGAACTTTTCCTACTGGATGGTTTTCAAGATAAGAATCGTAACTCCGTTTGCAGAGCTCCCCGTACTATCTTTACTTCCTCTGCAACCTGTTGTTGCTCTCCAAATTCAATGCTTCTTGGAGTTTACTGGATGGTTGTTTGTCTGCAGTTTGATGTTTAATGTCGTAATAATTGAGATTAATTCTTGGCTACGTCCTTTTGTTAGTGCATGACTGTGCCTAGCTATGATTACAATTAAACAGCTTCTTGAGGTGTTTTTCTTCTAATAAAGTTCGATGAGTTTTGCATGAACTCTAGCAAAATGGTATAGACTTTTCCAATGGTTAGCATATCTTAAAAGGTTACATGAAAATAGCCCAACTTCTATTTCTAGACTTCAGCATGAGTGTTTATTACTGTTATGCAGAGGGAAGAGAGGGAGGCTGCAAAAGGGGGAAAAATGGCTCATCTCTTGGAAAAGATGGTTGTGTCATACTAACTTTTTAAGACTTTGTCTAAAGATGGTTGTGTTTGAACATTTTGAGCTTATGACTGAATCTTTTAGATTATATTACTTGTCAACCATTTGAAAAAGTGTATGCCAAGAATTCAGATCTCTGCATTTGTTTAGTATTTTGTCTTAATAATGGCATTGCAAAGATTTCTTGTCATTGAATAAGTGAAGTATAATACCTCTTTTTCTTGAATCAAATTTGACAATGGAACCGTAGGGTGAATACATCAGTCATATGTCAACAATAGACTCATGGATGACCATTCCTCCTATTACATGTCTAGTAATTTGTAAGTATTTTGAACAGTAAATTTGGAGCAGTTCTGTACTCGTATCTTCAAGGAGGAACCAGAGGACAGTTACAAAAGAAAAGTGTTCCTCATTGCCAGCTAAATCCTTAAAGAGGCCTAATAAGGAATTGCCTTTTTCTGGAATCTCAGCAAAAGTTTGAAAAGAGGATTTAGTTGCTAAGTCAAAAAAACAACAAAGAATCTTGCTGGAAGAACCAAGCCATTTATATACAGTTCTGTATCTGCTGTCTGTTACCCTGAATATAAAATTGGGCAATTAATTTGGACTTAATCTATGCGAATTTCCTTTTCCATCGATGGAAAAATAGAGGACCCCACCCAAAAGGTTAAGCCTGCAATTTCATAATTTCTAGGCCATAGGGCTCTATAAAATTTGTTAGTTTACCTTCATCAAAACCATCCCGGAGGCTGGACAAGGCAGGATACAAGTACTATCATCAATTCCTCCAATGGCCACAACAATTAAGCCACTATTAACTGACCTTGTATCTACTGTGAGCTCTGTTCCTCCAAATTATGTCCGACCTGAATCTGACCGTCCAAACCTCAATGAGGTTACCTTTGATCATTCCATCCCTCTCCTTGATCTCCAAGGCCTTCATGGTCCTAACCACTCTAGTGTTATAAAAGAGATTGGGGAAGCGTGCCAAAATTATGGTTTCTTTCAGGTATGATAACTTTGTGCAGTTCTTTCTTTTCTTTTGGTTTACTCCAAATTTAATTGCTTCCCTGTAAAAAAAGGCGTCCAGGAGTAACATCAATTACATTTCAATAATATGTTTTGTTATCTGTTGAAGGTTAAAAACCATGGCATTTCACCAGAGGTGATTGATAAGATGTTGCATGTCTCCAAGGAATTCTTTCGTTTACCAGAGAGTGAGCGATTGAAGAATTACTCCGATGATCCTATGAAGACGACAAGACTTTCTACGAGTTTCAATGTGAAAACTGAGAACGTATCAAGCTGGAGGGATTACTTAAGACTCCATTGCTTCCCTTTAGAGGATTATGTTCATGAATGGCCAACCAACCCTCCATCTTTCAGGTACCACTTGAAGTTATTAACCAACCACATCTTCAGGATTATATGTTACTGATTTCATTTAAATTCTTTGTTTGATTTCTTTCTTGTACCACAGAGAAACTGCTGCAGACTACTGCAAGAACACCAGAGGGCTGGCGCTGAGACTGCTGGAAGCAATATCAGAAAGCTTAGGCCTGGAAAGGGATTACATCAATTCGGCACTAGGAAAGCATGCGCAGCACATGGCTATCAACTATTATCCACCTTGTCCCGAACCAGAGCTGACCTATGGGTTACCTGCTCATGCTGATCCCAATGTTATCACCATCCTCCTTCAAGCTGACGTGCCTGGTTTGCAGGTGCTCAAAGATGGCAAGTGGTCTGCTGTCAGCCCCATTCCTTACACCTTTATTGTCAATATCGGTGACCAGATACAGGTTAGATAATTAACACATACATATACAGAAAGTTCTAGCTGGATTAATTGTCAATGCACCAGTAATTATGAGTTCTTTTTATTGCTTGGTGATGATAATTAACAAGATGCAAGTTATCAATCCAGTATAATAAGCAGGAACTTAACGATATAGCCCTGAAGCTTAGGTAATTACATTTTAATGTTAAAATGGAGTGTTCTTACTCAATGAACATATATAGTCTCGAAACAATCATGTTAAAGGTTGAGGCGTATACCTTTCCATTCAAATTGAAATTATTAGCAAAAAAAAACCCACATCCTTTTGCAATAGACCGCTACTAAGAGATATTAAGAGTCAAATACCAAAGGTATATATGAACACAGATATGACATTTGACAAGGTCTGCCCGAACTGTTTCAAGTACTTCTAGAAATATATCAAGCAAAAGCTATTTTACTTGATTTCCGTTTCTTCTAAATTAACCATACAGGTAGTAAGCAATGATCGTTACAAGAGCGTGCTTCACCGGGCGGTGGTGAACTGCAAGGAGGAGAGGATCTCTATTCCGACGTTCTATTGCCCATCACCCGACGCTGTGATGCGGCCAGCCCCGCAACTGATCGACGACAATCATCCTCCCTTGTACAGGAACTATTCTTACAGTGAATATTACCAGAAGTTCTGGAAAAGGGGGCTTAACGCTGAGACATGTTTGGACATGTTTAAAATTTAAGACCTTTGTCCTTATCTTACTTACCCTATTTATGTTATGTAATGCAAGGATGCTTCTTGTAGAAAATAAAGGGTGTGAAATTTTACTGAAGGTGACTTTTATTATTTTTACTTAAGATAATTAAGATTACTTATGATATATTATGCATGTGAATATTTGGGTCACATATAAGTATTTTAATGAGTTTATTTACTTTTAATTCAAATAACATGTGATGATTATATTTATTATGGAAAAATATTACGTACTTTAAAAATTATGACTTTCACAGATTAAAATTGAAAAAAAAAAAGACTACTTGAGTATATTTTATTCCAATATTATATATAAAATATTTTTTGTAATTAACACTAAATTATTTAAATTATAAAAAATTAGCAATAAAACATGTAAAACATTACTAAACGTGCTTCGATATTATTGATTTTGCAAACTGAGGTTACTGAAGAATTTTTAAGGTATCTAATATTTTAGAGTCTCTGTATCTAAAATAATGTTACTAGATATTTGTAGAAGGTTATTAATGCAGTACATAAAAAGATTATTAAATAATATATACAGATAAGGGTTAGTTCTTATGCATTTTGAGGTTAATGATTCTGCATAATAAGATTACTAAAAGAAGATATTAGCATATAATATTCCACTATGTATATATCTAATATTTTAGTAACATAAAATTATTAAATATTTATAAAAGTTATTAAACCTAATTAGAATATATATATATATATATGATATTCCGATATTAACACAAGATTATTAATTATTTATAAAGGTTATTTGAAGGGTATTTATAAGGTTACAAAAAAAAATAAATGAGTGTTAAAAACGTAATACTATACATTTTCAAGTTTCTAATTAAGAGATTTAAGGATATTAACAAACTTAAGTAAGTATCTGATGTTTCAACAAGAAAGTATCTAATAATTATTTTATGCAATGAGTATCTAATATTTAGAGGTGGAGGGAGAGGGGTAATGAGATTTTTAATTTTTTTTATTTTTATGTATATAAAATTTAAAATATCTAATTTTATCACTCCTAAATAAATCAAATGAATTGGTTTAGAGTAGTGGTAAGAAATCTCAGTTAACCTTTTAAACCTAAACTTTATTTTCTCTTTTTTTTATTTCCTTTATAAGTCTACTAAACTCTTTTATTTTTTTCTCCTTTATAAGAATATTAAACTATAACTTTACATGATGGGTCTTTAACCACTCTTCATACAAAATCTTAAATTTGTCACTGCTAATATTTAAATAACACTATTTGCTCATGTCTTCTATTACTAATATTATAAGCACATTAATTTAATTATAATTTAATTAATTATAGTTTGTCTTTTTCCTTTTAAGTAAAAGAATAAAAGACTATAAAAAGAAAAGCATAAGAAATAAGTACAATATTTATTTTATATTTTTAAAAAGTATTATGTCGTACATGGATATTCGACACAAAATGCATTCAGTAAATTTAAGTCTTGAATCTTAATATTGATAGTAACCTCCACCTTTAACTAATAATATAATTAAAATGAGAATGATATTTGTGTTTTAATTTTTTTCTAAAACAAATCTATTAATAATAGGAGATTGGAAAATTAATTTTTGTCTTCCAGGAAGTAATTCTAATCAATTTTTATAATATAGTAAGAAAAAAAAAAGGGGTAAAGTCGTTAGACCTTTGGTCTACCCGAATTCCCCGCAACTTGCTGGGTACTCCACTGGGGCGTAACAACATTTCCCTTGCCCTTAAAATTCACACCGTTAAAGCAGAGAAGGGAAGGAAAAAACTGGGGAAAAAATCAAGATCAAAAGCAAAATCCAATCCCGAGATTGCCTTTCAGGACAAAAAACCAAACCCGGAACTAGAGAATTTCACACAGGCAATGCGTTTAGCGAGCGCCTCAGCACTGCCCATGGCCATGCAAGCGGCCATTGATCTTGGCGTTTTCGACATGCTTGCTCCACTTTGTTCGGGTCTCCGCTCCGTGGACATCGCGGCACGCTTGGGCTGTCGCCACCCAGATTCTCTCAAGATGCTGGACCGGCTCATCGCGGTACTCTGTTGCCATAACGTGCTTGCATGCTCTGAAGGTTGCTACAGTTTGACGCCTGCGGCTAAGTACTTTGCCAAAAATGAAGATGGGGTATCCTTGGCTCCCTTGTTGCGATTGAACCATGACAGGGTTTTCCTTGAAAGCTGGTTTGGTTTTTCAACTTTCACCCTATTTATTATTTATACATACGACCTATGGTTTTAGGTTTCGTTAGTATCTTTTTGTTCACCGTCATGAACTGTTACTTGGGGAAAATTTCGTTGAGTAATGATTTGTGTGGTCCCAGAATATCACTTTGTTTGAACTGCTAAGTGTTATTTTCCAACGCACACAGTGAAATAACACTGTAGAATTTTGAAGAGTTTGTGCAACAAAATAAAGTTCAACTACAAAAAATGACAGCTATTATTATTGCTAATATAATTGCGGTTGTTTGTTCGCTATGTTGAGCATTTGGGAAATTTAGGATTGAGGAAACATCATAGTTCAAAATGTTTTAAGGTGGGTATTAAATGTCATATTCTAAAAGCAATGAGATTAAATTATCTAGAAATGCAGTAGTTTTATCTTTTATTTTTTGGGGTACATAGAAGAAAGCCTTCGGGAGGAGAGGCGGTTCAAAATTTAGAGCAAGCCGTTCTAGAGAGTAGTAAAAAGGCTAGGTGAAGCCTGTGTTGTTGCAACAGTTCCATTTTGGCAGTCCATGCATGTCAAAACATAACTTATTGAGATGTGCTTTTGTTCAATTGTTTCTTAGGTCTGGAGTTAAGGATGCAATTCTTGAAGGGGGAAATCCCTTTAGCAGGGCCCATGGCATGCATGTGTTTTGAGTATCTTGGCAAGGATGGCAGGTTCAATCAAGTTTATAGTACAGCTATGTTCAACCACACCACAGTTATTGTGAAGAAGATCCTTAAAACATTCAACGGTTTTAAGAACGTCAAGACATTGGTTGATGTTGGTGGTGGTATTGGTGTGGCGCTTAGCTTAATCATTTCCATGTACCCCTCTATCAAGGGTATTAACTTTGACTTGCCGCATGTTATTCAACATGCCCCTCCATTTCCTGGTATGATGCCAATTCATTACCTCTTCTTTTTCTTGTTGTATTCATGATTTCTCTTTGCTGATTAATATAGTTTATATGGAACTTCTTTCTTTACAGGGAATTGATGGTTATATGATCAGTTATATTATTGCAAATGCCCTGTATTTGGAGTGCAATTTTTCAAATCCTGCAGCTGTGGGTTTGGTTTTATTATCCAAATACCCTGTATTACCATCATATTCAATCCAGTTAGTTGTTTGATTGCAATATCACCAATCATATTGCTGTGGGTTTGGTTTTTAATCTTTTGAATCACACAACATAATGCCTAAAGTGTGGCTTCGTTTTTGTTGGAAAAGCAAAGATTTGCTCGCTAGAAAAAAGAGAGAGGAGAAGACGAGAAGAACCTGCCCCTAATTGATAATGGCCAAAAGTTAATTTTAATATCGTCTATAGCTTTGCAAAATAACAATAGTTTTTAGAATGCAACTCTATCATAGTAACAGGAACTCCTTGTGCAAAATTATTTGCTTAAGATGTCATAGCAAATTTAGTGAAGCAATTTATATTGCGTTGCAGGTGTGAAACATGTAGCTGGAGATATGTTTGAAAGTGTTCCCAGTGGAGATGCCATTTTAATGAAGGTTAGTTCTGAACTTTGCTTGAATCTTTCCTGACTTAAAAGATATTTTTGTCCCAAATCTTCGCGAGCTGACTTTTAGCACCAGCAAACTATGGTTTCAGATAACCAACAGTGAGATTATGGCTAATTTGTAGGGGATTCTTTGGGATTGGAGTGATGATCAGTGCTTGAAGTTGTTGAAAAATTGCTATAATGCTCTTCCAAAAGATGGAAAGGTTATTGTTATAGAGCAAATTCTTCCAACTGTGGCTGACCTGGCCAGTGTACACAAAGGGAAACTCTTGAATGATGTGCTTACTATGACTCTAAATCCTGGAGGGAAGGAGAGGAAACAAGGTGAAATGTTTCGCTTGGCAGAAGAATCTGGGTTTGACAGTATCGGAATTTCATCTTTCCAGTGTCATTATTGTGTTCTGGAGCTCATTAAATCTCCAAATAAGTTAGTCGGGTCTGGTTAACGAATTGGCACTTGGGGGGTTCCTCAAAGTTCATGGTAGCCTTAACTTTAGCTTAGGGAACCTCTTTTGTGCCATACCTATGACGCTTTTATTACATACCTATTTTGTGAACTATCTGGTTATCTTAGCAAAGTCAGATGCTTTGCCCACAGGGTTGGAATGGATGCTGTGATTAGGAACTGAATGTAATGTAGGAAAATGATACTATATGTTTTGACATTATATGTGTTTTCTTAGATATATTGCTTGAGAACTTAAATTTTGGCTATTTATATCGGATGTCTATCTAGTGATTCAGTGCTCTAAGTCGGTAAACTCGGTGGTCTCTTCCACTGATGGCTAATTGTTAATTGACTTTATCTACTACAAGAGGGTGGAGTCTGTTCCAACCAAAAAATAAAATAAGGTATAGTCTGTCTAGTCTTATAAGATACATTCATAAATTGTTGGTTTCATAACTCAGATAATTAATACTATTGGGAGATTTAAAGTTTATATTGGTATCAATTCATTTCCAATAATAAATGAGTTATTTTCCTCTCAAGTGTGAAAATATTGAAATTGAAAGGACAAAGAAGAGTACAAATCCATTCTTTGTTTTTTTCTATCGTTTTCTAATTAAAAAAGAAAAAAAATTCCTTCCCTGCTTATTTCCCTCTCACCAAATACAGTTTTATATAGTTATATATAAATACCCTTAGGTGGAGACTTGTAGAGGAAGTAGAGAAGTTCCCTAAAAGGAAAATAGTGAACCGACCTTGAGAGGGTCAAATCCAAGTTGCAGATACCTGCCTGCTTTCTTCCAAGTTGTTGCTTCTCGAAGCGAAGCCATGAACGAAGAGCTACAGAGCTTCACAGAAGTCATGCATCTTGTGAGTGCTTTGGCATTGCCTAGGGCGATGCAAGCCGCCATGGATCTTGGCATTTTCGATGTCGTTGCTCAAGCGGGTCCAGGCTCTCAACTCTAGCTATTGCTTCCCGCTTGGGGATACGCGACCCTAGCTCGTTGAAAATGCTGGACCGCTTTGTCACCCTCCTCGCTTGCCATGACGTGTTTACTTGCTCTGAGGGCTGCTATGGTTTGAAGCCTGCGGCTAACTACTTTGCTCGCAATGAAGATTGCGTTCTTTGGCACCTTTGATGCGCTTAAATAATGACAGGGTTTTCCTTGAAAGTTGGTCCGGAGTGAAGGATGCAATTCTTGAAGGGGGAAATCCCTTTAACAGGGCTCATGGGACGAACCACGTGCTTGAGTATCTTGGCAAGGATGGCAGGTTCAGTCAAGTTTACAACACGGCTATGTTCAACCACACAACCATAGTTGTAAAGCAGATCCTTTGAGTCGTATGAGGGCTTTAAGAACATCAAGACATTGGTCGACGTTGGTGGTGGGATCGGCGTGGCTCTTAACGTAATTATTTCCAAGCATCCCTCTATCAAGGGCGTCAATTTTGACTTGCCCTATGTTATTCAAAGTGCCCCTCCTTTTCCTCGTATGCTTGTCATCCATTTTATTTATCTTGTATTTCGCAAGTTTTTCTCAAGTTCTTCTCTTTCTTGGCCAAAGTCATGTTATTCTGTTAATTCTACTGTTTTATTTTGTTGTTTCTTGTGCTAATTCTGCAAGCATGCATTAATTGGATATGCCTTTTACCGCATTTTATCTAACCCATTATGTTGTTCTGGCCTACTAGGTGAAGGTCACCAATCTTGGGGGTTGGATTGTCTCACTTCGGAATTGCATGAGAATATGCCTGAAAGTATCAGTTGCTTGAATCATTTGAGATGGCTATAAACGTTTTCCAAATGAATGTCCTTAATTTTATGAAAAATTATTCATTTTAGGGAAGTTGACTCTACTATGATTGCTGATCACTTTCTGTTATCCTAGATGGAACTCTGGTGATTTATTAATCTATGGTGTACCTAGATGTAGACAGGAGTAATACCTAATATGTGTTACAGGTGTGAAACATTTTGCTGGAGATATGTTTGATAGCATCCCAAAAGGAGACCCCATTTTTATGAAGGTAAAGATTTGGACTTGATTAGCAACTTTCTTGGCTGAAGCAGTCTTTCTCCCTAAAAATTCATAAACTGATTTCTCCGCTAAAGGTTATTTTCCCTGTCTTAAAACCCAACCGACTTCCTGAGCAGTTGAAATTGCTATAGCAAGGGCATCATTTGTTTTGGGTTGTTCAAATTCTTTTTATTGTTCTCACAGTAGATATTTGGTCTATCAATAATTCTTTTACTGAATTTCAAATTACAGCTGACTGTGCAATATGGATGTTTTATTTAGGGCATACTTCGTGATTGGGGCGATGATCAGTGCTTAAACTTGTTGAAGAATTGCTACAATGCTCTTCCAAAAAATGGAAAGGTTATGGTTGTGGAGCAATTTCTTCCCATTTATAGCGACCTTGCCTGCTCAATGCCAGAGAAACACTTAAATGATGTTGTTGCATTGACTCTGACCCCAGGAGAAAAGGAGCGGAATCAATTGGAATTCTCTTAGGATTGAAAGCTGCATTCCGTGATGTTCTCTTTCCATGTGTTTATTGTCAATATGTGGTTATCGAGTTCATCAAGTCGCTTGGCACTAAGGTTTTGGTCAATGAGTTGGGACTTCCTTAAGTAGATGGTATTACTATAGCTGCTTTCGTTGACGGAATTTATCCAATGTAAGCTGACTTTTCTGCTAGTTCCGATGCTTTACTCACTATCATTAGACTGTTCAACTTCTAAGCAATCTATATCCTAAATAGCCTGTCAATTTGATGACACTTGTCATTTGAGTTGGATGCTGTGATCTTAAATAGAATTTACACAATTCATACGTGTGGGTGAGACTCAGGATTTTGGTGTCAAGTCCTTATGTTAGTGTGCTTCTACTTTCGAGTTTCAAGTCATTTAATTTCTTGATCTGACTTCGATGAATTGTGCACCAAGTTGATCTTCCCTGGAAGAAGTGACCCACTCTGCCCTAATGAGGAATGAGGACCAATCCTTGAATTTACAAAAGACTAGTATGTGGTTGACAATTTGCAGTATCTGTGCATATCATACTTGAAGGCTTATTTTTCTTTTGCAAATACAGAGCTTGACGTGTTTCTTCGTTTAGTCTTTCTATAGAATTCTTAGAGGTACTTTCTACAACCTTTTACTCTCTAAAAAAGGAGTGTGAATTATCTCCTGTAGCATGCCGCGAAGCCTGCATAAACACACTGGAAATTTATCCAGTCGATGGAAGTTCTTGTGTTTCAGATAACAAAAGAAAGTGATTATTGGCATCAGATAGTATGCTACAGATGGGGAAATAAAAATATACATGTATCTCAATTGCCCATGACAAAACCACATTACATTGGTTTACTCTGGTTAGAACTTAAGCTAACAAAATGAAGCAAGGTCACATGTTGATGCTGCAAGTATTGGCTTCAGATTTGAAGTATTCACCTCATCTCAGCAGCATTCTTAACCAGTTTCCTCTAGCTGCTTCCAGTTATTTCTTTGTATGTGTCTCTTACTTTCTGTACCAGAGCTTCCCTGAAGTTTAAATTAGGAATATCAAAGACCATCACTAAAACCAGAAATTTTTCTTAGAAAGGATAGAATACTATTCATCCTGTTTTCTGCTAAAGTTAATTAAATGTCATGCAAATGAATTGGAACCAAGAGATAATTGAGTTAGCATGTATGAGACTTACCTGTCTGGCTTGAAAACAAGGTTCTTGTATGCAAACCACTGCAAGGGCAGACAATAAATTGCATAAGAAAATAGGAGTGCTTTATTTATGGATTGATGTACCTGAAAAGACAACTCATGCCCCATTTGGTATTAAGAAAAGTAGAGATGATATACAACCTTTTCTTAGAATCTACATAAATCCTACTCAACAAGACTGATACCAACAGAAACATGATTCTCGATTGATTAGCTTGATACTTCAAAGAACGGCTTTAAACTAAATATAAGCAAAATGATGAATAATCCTGAGCTCTAGTAAAGAACATGATGACTTTGTTGTGGGGCTCTTATGTCTATAGAACTTTCACATGAAACAACAGTGAATAAAATCCAGCTTACCCCACTGTAGCCAATACCCACGAGCTCCAGAACGCCAGGAACTAGAGGAAGCCTATCAATTGCCTGTTAGAGAAGACACCCATTTCATGTTTGAATAATGCTAGTGATAATTCATGTTTAACCAGTTAAGACTCTAAGACAATCTGCATTTTAAGAATCTCACCAAGATCAATCCAGTTGAGCCCCAAAGGGCAACAACAAGTGCTACAGCAAGTGAACTCACAGCATACTTGTCCTCAACTTTATCCCACTGAAAACCAATAACATATTCGTGTTATAAATACAAAATCCTGTATAGTAACGGGAAAATGAAAAAGAAAATGATGCAACAATTCTTACGGCATCTTGAATTTTCTTGACAATCTCTGGCATCTCAGCTGTTGCAACTTCCGCTGGGGCCTCACCTGTGGCCATAGCCATCACATTTCGAGCAAACTTGCGACCTGGAAAAGTTAAACTCCATACATGATCAACTGTGTGATTGGTGAAACGAGATATGTCTTTGAACTTACAATAAGCAGTAGTCTTCCAGGGACGACTCTGGGACTGAACGGGTGGGGGAGGAAGAGTAGGAAGGGTAACACATTGTGGGGATGCGGCAGTTGTTTGACGAGGAGCCTTGGCATCCACACGGGTAGATGAGGAAGAGATTGATAGTGCACTGGAGGAAGCTGAAGCCATGGCTAGTCAACCTCTAAAAGGATGTAATTCTCTTGTCCTGAGAGATTCTAAGGCCAATGAAATGGAGAAATTGATGCAATTTGGTTAGTTTTTATAAATTTTTTTGCCTTGTGTTTTTGTTGCTTTCCTTTTTTTAATCTCTCTTTTTTTCTGGGTTCAGCTGCAAATAATCTGATAATTTTGAAAGGGAATGTGGAGATGGTTTGTCTTCCGCGTTTGCAGCCAGAGAGCCACTCATTCACTTCATCTAGATAGTGCTGACATGGCGGTTTGATAGGCAATTTATGGTGTTTGATTGGATAGGATGTTCCAGGTTGGCCCTCTGTTGTGCTAAAACCCTTGATTGTGTTATCTTTCTCAACTCTCAAAAAGAACCAAGCCTTACAAACCCAAAATATCCTTTCCCCCTTAACATTTAACTCTGGAAACATACTTGTTTGTCAGTCAGAAAAATATCTCCACTGCTATGTGATAACTTGAAAAAACAAAAAAAAGATGTAAAAACCACCCAATATTCCCCTTTTAGGAAAAAGGAAAATTACAAAGCATAAAACTTAAATTCAGATTGACTATGTCGCCATTGGGCTTGTCTTACCCAATAATTTTAACTAGAAACTTCCATGAACTTGTCCAATTTCCCCGGTTGGTCTTTTCTCATTTGTCCTTCCTAATGGATTGGGTTTAAGAAGGTCTGAGTGATTCGGGTTTGGCTTAGAAACATCTAACCCATTGGGCCTCAAAGTTGGGATACGGTCCAAGTGTTTATAGGGCTAGGAAACTTATACTGATGAGCCTCAGGGAACTATGCTAACCTAACCTTCTCTTTACATGATGACAACTTCTATTGAAACAGGTCGTTCTATGAATAGATGCATTTACTTGCAGCATGTTGATTAATCCTCTCTTTTCGTTAATATTCTATAAAAAATCCCAAAGTTTTTTTTTCCCTTTTTTGGAATGAACCCTGAAGCAAATTGATGAGATATAGTAAGACATAATTCTGCAATAGCTAGAAGAACAATAGCAACTTAAAAGGTTATATTGCAACAAGAGATTAGGTCTGGACCACCTGGAGGTGAATAATTACTGTCAAAAGAGAAGAAGGATGACCCTTTTTTTTATTTTTCCTTTCTCCCCTAACTGAAGTTCAAAACGTATTGATAATCAATCTCTGAGTCCCCACAAACACATCCTGTAACTTTGTCTTACTACCTATTTTACTTTAAAACTTTAAAATAGAAAATTTTCACCTTCTTCTGCAACCAATTTGAGTCGCCCCACCATGACCATTTGGAACTTGGAAGGGTGCGTTTCTAGTGTTGATGCTGCAACAAGAATTTGATATCGGTATCACTTTTCGGCTGCCTACACCGCGCCACGAGAATATAAAAAGGTTTAGTCCATAGACTTAGACACAGACGTAATGTAAGGGTTAAATCCAAGACCCTTAGTAGACCTTAGCTGTGGGAACCCATGAAAATGACGTTGTAAACATCTCCAGGTTAAAGGCTATTGTTTAAAAACACATCATCCGCCGAAAGCTAACCAAAGCCCTTCAAGACCAGGGAAGAAAAATGAAAGAAATACATTTCCTGATTTTCAACGTTTTTTTTTATTTTTTTGTCTTGCGAACGTGCACGAATGGAAATGGCCGTGCGCACTGCGCAGTTGAGACGTTTCACGCGCTAGGGCGTACGCAGGGCAAACGTGATTGACTAGACAGACAAACCCTCATAACATCATCAATGTTTTGGATCCTTTTTTTCATGCGCTTTGGTAAGTATGTTTCTTTTTATTAAGTTATTATGATGATGTTGAATGTTGACGAAGAGCCCATGGTAAAGATGAGAGGTTAATCACTCAAGCACAATCTCAAGCAACTCACGAAAAAACCATATCTAAATTTTATCAAACAAGGAAAAAAAGAAAGAAGCAAAATTCGGTGATGCGTGTGACCTGTGTTGAGGATGTTAGAGCTCAAATAGGGAAAAATATAGGTTTGTTAGGGAGAGAAAGTGGAGGTAAAGTCGACAGAAAATTAAGAATAAAAGAAGCAGAGGAGAGAGAGAAGAAGCAGGACAGCTTGTCGGCAATATGAGCAACGATGGTGTCAGTGACGAACTTGCAACGTGATTAGAGAAAAAAAGAAAAGAAAACAAAAGGTGGGCAAAAGAAGAAAGCACAGAGAAAACTGTAAAGAACCTTTTAGTTTTATTACTCACGCTTAATTTTTCTTTTCTTTTCTTTTTTTGGGTTCATAAGTCACGTGCTTGTCACGAGAGTTGTCATTTGATCATGATTTGAGTAATTAACCAAGATGGGATATGTTGCTTTGATGAATTATACAGTGACGGAGAAAGGATGAAGATGGGTGAGACTGAGATATTGGGGCCAAAGAGATGAAAAGGTTTAACTGCTACGACAAAGATTGTCCCAAAAACAAAAAATAGAGGACAGTTTCTTTCGAGGCGATCTCTCTGGTCACTCTCTGTTGAGATTCGGGATACCTTACGATCAGAAGAGAATCAATCTCTGATAGTGACCCTACTTCACCCCTTGGGACATCACAAAAAACACCCAGGTTTTTAAGCTTTGACCATGCCCCAAACCTGAGAACTATATTTGTTTGCATATCTTTAATGCTTCTCTTAGGGGATTAGAGGTGGATATTTTTATATCTTGAGCTTGATATTAGATGAAAAGCAATGCTAGGTCAGACATTTTTTTTTCCTCGTTGGAATTTGTAGTGAAACACTGTGCATATAGTACAAACGTACTTGATCCAACTTAACATTTTCTTCATTGGAATTTGAAGAATGGTGAGTTGAGCAGGGTTTTTCTTTTTTTTGACTGACTTTGAAGGTAAGTGAATAGCAAGCAACCACTTAATAGCCATCTACTTGGTTTAGCAGTGCACGATATAGGCACCTTTATTATAATCTTCTTCATCTAAATTGCATTTAACAGGTGAAAGTACTCAGACTGGTCCAAAGAACACCATGTTGCATGCAATCCTATCATGTTCAATCCGAGACAGTAACACCACACAAGGACCACGCGCTACGTCTTTTGATTATAAAAACTCCAAAATGTTTAGGGTACAAAAGAAAAAGAACTTAAAATACTAAGTCATGGATGAATCTCAGTACTACTAGTACTGTATAAGAACATTGTTCTTGTTGTAGTTTTCTTAACATGGGACAAGGCGCCTGCATATGAAACCTAAGGAACAGGAACGCGAAAATAACGAAAAAAATTAAGATGCAAAAGAATTTAAGGATCGATATGGAATAGGGATTTGAAAGCTTTGTTTGTTTGTTTTCATGACTCATGACTCATGAGAGACGTAGTCACATTCCCATGTCACCAGCTGGGAATCAAAGTAGGGGCAGATCGCTGCAAAAGATGGAAAACGCACGGGCACTTTACCATTTACCCTTCTGGAAAAAGAAAAAGTGATCTTCTGGCTGGTCCAAGGTCTTCCCCCTCAGCTCAGCTGACGGCGATTTCTTTGGTAATCCTCCACCTTGAGACTTTCAAATTCTCCAATACTACTTTTTAGTTAAAAATCGAAATTTGAATAAGATCAAATGTTAATGTATAGTAAAGCAAAACGTAAGGTAAAGCTAATGATAATATGGAAATGCGTGATTAAAATAAGCTAATGCCAATGATAATGTATGGAGATCCGAGATTAATTGCGTTTAGGTTAACTATGCTGGCTCGTCCTTCCCGATGAAACATTCACTTCTTCCAAAATCTGAGACCGATGTTCCCTCTGGATCCATTTTTATATTTTTACCATGGTTGGAGTTGCCCCATGCCGTGGCTCCACTACTTCATGTCTACAACTATACTAGAATATAGTTCTATTTTATTAGAGTATCAGTTGAGTTTAAGGTGTAACCAGTGAAGAAAGAACTTTACGTGTTGAAAAGAGGAAACTTTCTTGAAGCGTTCTCTTCTTTCTAAGAGCATGCAAACTCTAGAATTTTGAAATATTTTTTTAACTACTTCTTTTTGAGACATAATTAAGTACTTAAGCTCTAAGATTAGTGCTTCCAGTACCACATATATATATTAAAGTGTCACATTAGTCCTAAAAACAGCCAATGATATTTAAGAAATCGATGCGAAATGAACAAGCAAGTGTCTTGACTTGGAAAGAGCTTGGGATCATTAAAAGGAAGCTGATATCATCGAAGGAGAAGGGGGTAATGGTAATCGTGGAGCTGTAGCTTGTCTTGTAGGGGTTCAAACAAGGGCCTAGAAACCGCATGATGTTGGATTGGGACTGACCTTGGGGAAAACGGAAGAAAAGGCTGTAAAAAGAAGGAACGCGAAGACCAAAAATGACTAGGACTTGGCTACAATGGGAGGGTGATTTGTCCCTGGCCCGGACTTCCTTTGATTCTTTTACATGGGGATGTGTGCCTTAAGCCGCTGCAAACTTTGCATTGGCAGCTCTCTCTGTCTGTCTGACACGTATGACAATTTTCAGTGTGGAACGTGGGTTGCTCTTCATCAACCTTTGACTTTGCTTATTTCCATCATCTGGCTGGCCTCTTGCCTTCGTAGTACGTATCCTGTATCCATCACGTCTACCACGTCACTTTTATGCTTTTCTTAATTGTCACTCCATTAGTCACAACGTGTTGTGATTCATTTTGGGGATTTCTGTGTTTAGCTAGAGAGTGTATCACCTCAGAAGTTGTCACAGCCAGGACGAAAGTTTGATAATTTTGCTGAAGCATGAAAGTTTCAAATTGTCATTTCAGTCCAAATACTCCGTTGATAAAATTTAGGAGTCAATGCAACAGGTAGAAGAGTACCCATGAGGCATGGACCCATGAACTCTCTGTGGTTCTCGGTGATGCGTCAGGAAAGGGAAACGGTTGGTATCCAGCAAATACTTGTAATCCCAACCCATCCTCCCTGCCGTTCTTGTCTTTCCTGTTAGCCCTCCCATATAGTATTTGATATTCCTGAAACTATATATGATTATGAATTATCGCTTTATGATATAGGCCAAAAAAGGGGCCTCTTCTCGTTACATTTGGCAAGAACGGAGGAGAGAAGAAGAAAAGTTATGACGTTAAATAGACCATCAACCTAGATCTTTGCAGAGTCATGATGAAGAGCGAAAAGGAAATTGTTAACGTTCTAGGTTTTCTTGTTGTGTAGTTTCT